ACGGTGTAAATCCGGGTAGAGGAAGTACGGGGGGAAAATATCTCTAAAACTGAAATTGATCAAAAGGGAGAAATAAAGTTTAAAACTCGTTTATTGCTTACAAACTTCAGTCCGGGGCCTTCTCTCTCCTACTCAGGCAGAAGCGAGCCAGGACCTCTCCCTAACCTCTCAGGTTCAGATAAGCCCTCTGTTGCCCATTGACATGGAGACGAACTTTTCTCTACCCCTGAGGATACGCAAATACACTAAAGCCAGGTTAGATATTCTGGAAATACAATTTTACCCACAGACGGCTACTTTCAGCAGCCTGAAGCTGGAGTTGGGGGGACCCGACCGCCCCCACGGGCTGCTGCCCAGTTCATGGATCCCAGTCTGCACTGTAACTTTGCTGGAGGCGAGCTGAGAGCCGGCTTGGGAACCTCAGCGCCCCAGGAAGGCGGCGGGCCTCTAATCTCAGAGGAGGCTGGAGTTGGGGGAGATTCCTCCGTGCGACTACATCCGGACGCGAGAATCCCGGGAGAGCCGGCAGCCCAGGAACGCAGAAAGAGCAAATCGTGGCTTAAAACGCCGGGTGGGGGTTCGTTTGCAGGACCCTAAATGACAAACGCCCCCTCGGGTGGGCGCGGAGAGCAGGCCGGGCTTTGTTCCCGGAGCCTGAGTGCTGGCTGGGGAAGTGCGCCACGTGGCCGCAGCGCCGCCGCCTGCGAGCAGCGGCTGGGGGCTGGGCTGGTACCGGGGCCTGGGACGGAGAGCCGGGGACTAGCGGACGGGGTCGAAGCAGGGGCGGGCGCACGGTGCAGTCCCATGGAGGGGCGGGCACACGGTGCAGTCCCATGGAGGGGCGGGCGCGTGCCCGGGCCGTGCCGACAAAGGAGCGCCCGCTCACGGGGGTCTGCGCGCCGCTCCAGGCTCTCCAGCTCCCCGGCTCCCCGCCGCCGGGCCCTGGAGCTGCACTTTCTTTCTTTTGGTGTTGGAAGGTGGAGTCACGTAGCAGGGAGACGAAAATCTTTCCAGGAAGTTTGTACCTATTAATATTTCAGTTCCTGGCAGCGCTCTGTGCTCGGGAGGAGGCAAGTTCAAGGATATTTGGGAGGAAGCTGCGGCGCGGTTGGGGCTGCACTAGGGTGGTGGGCTCCGGGGCGGGGCGGGAGGAAGTGTCCAAGGGCCGGGGGCGAAGCGGGGGATCTGGGCCGGGGCCACCCATCCCCGCGCTGCGCCCGGGCGGCATCCTGACCGCAGTTGGCCGCGCGGGGCGGACCCTACAGCGGAGCTGACCTTGGGCGGCCCCTGTCCTCGCAGCCACCTCAAGGCTATGGTATCTCCAATCTCTTCAGTAGAAAATACGGCTCAGGGAAGTTATAACCTGTTCAACGCCACTGTGCCGCCACAACAGCGAGGTCCCCGATCTCTGAAGCAAAAATAGCAGGATTGTTCCTACAGTATCAGCTCCAGGATCGTCCCCAAGGGAAGCCACAGGCACGGGCGGGTCCGACCCCTCTACACACACACCCGCTCCCCAGCCAACGGATTTCCGCAAGTCCTGTCATCGCACACCATTTTGCCAAAGAGGAGTTATATTAAATACCCTTCAGGTGCACGTGCGGATGAAGAAATTTGATGCGGTTAACACAGCCACCTCTGGATTGCGCACTCTGGACAGGGTACTTAGGCACTAACCAGCTGTCCCCAGGGGAAAAACTGAGGTCCCTACACACAGCAGCCCCACGCTGTCTCTGTCCCAGTATTCCAAAGGCAGCCAGGACACAAGGGCAGACAAGGGCAGCCCCTGCTCGGGATTAAACAGAGCCACCCCGCAGGGATCCTGTCCAGCCTCACTTGGAGGTAGGTGCCTGACTCCAGGGCTAAGAATTGGGAACCTTACTCTAGTCTACAAGATCCTGTCCCCCTTCCACTCTCCTACCTCCTCCTCAGCACATGCGGTTCTCCCAGCTGGCTGTGGCCCCACTGGCCAGTGGCCCAGAGAGGAAGATGTAACAGATTCAGGTAGTTTTAGGTAAAATTTGCTGAATAGAAAGTCTCCCCTGGCCCTGTCTCCTAGGAAAAGTACTCCAAGGAAAGCCCCAGTGGAGCATGAGAGAGCTGGCTGCATCTCCCTGGGATGCCAGGCTCGGTGACCCTGGGGAGGAATTCCAGCCCTCTGCCAGGGAGTCAGCAGGGGAGGTCCTTGAGCTTGGTGGCCTCCCACTGGTGAGCTCTCTCCCAGCCCTGACCATACCCAAAGACCCCTTTCTGTTTGCCTACACACTGCTGCTGAGGTTTCCAGGAGGGGGGTCCGTGAAACAAATGCCCTTTCCCCACCTTGGGTGGGCCAGACCCTGCCAACTGTCTTCATTTTGGTTGCAGAAAGCCTGCCAGGCTGCCTGTGTTCAAGGGCCTGGAACAATGACTGGTAGCATCAGCTGTTTTAATGCAGTTAGGCACATAATCCTTGCTAAAAATAAATACAAAGGAAAACCCCAAAGTAGTTAAGCCTATTTTAATACCTTTTATTTTTCTCATTCCTGGTTTCTTTGTCTTCCCCTTGCAACTTTGGAGTGCATTTAACAGTGGGCCCACCCTGAGTGTTATCAGGGCTCCCACCCATGTTCTGTGTATGCACAGCCCAGCCTTGATCATGGGCAGGAACAGTCAGAGGGAACAGAGGGAAGACAAGAAGATCCAAAAGCCATCTCTTGGAGTGCAGTTTACGTCAAATAGAATAATAGCACCACTTCTGAGCCGTGATAACTAAAAAGGAGCTCTTCTCACCACCCCTCCCACTTCTGACTCCCTACACGGCCCTCCAGGGGAGAATCCATATTTGTAAAGCCCCTGAGAAATGGCTAGTAGATGATGTCCTCCTCCGATGGGAGAGAACAAATCCGAGTGCCTTTGGGCTCCTGGAGACATCACTGCTTAGTCTTCAGAAAGGAAGAGTAGAGGAGGAAAAATTCTTCCTCTACCGTCCTAGGTTCTTTGGCTGGTCAATAATCAGATTGACATAAAACAGATTAACAGGAGAAAAACACACTTAATTACATATGCACAGAGCCCCACAAAGACAATGAGACCCAAGGACAGTTGAAGCTTGTCCTCACTTGAAGCTTATATGTCATTTTGAGCTAAGGAATAGGGGCCTGGGGCTTCAAAGGAGGGGAGGACAATTCATACGGCAACCAAGAGCAGATATTTGGTAATTGGATGTTTGTCCAGTTGGAATCAATGCCCACTGGAATCAATGGCCACTCTTTTCTCTGAAACTGATCCTCATCCATTTGGGATTAAGGAGGCAGTTTCTACCCGCTGTATCATTACACATTTTCTCTGTCTCCCACTGCACTTCCTCCACAGTTGATAGGATCAGGGGTGGACACCTGGCCCAATCAGAGCCTCTTCCTTATAAACTGGAATGAGGAGAAAATGAGGGAAAGAGAGAGACAAAGTCCAGAATCTGGGCTCCCTCAATAAGTTTCCATAGACTCCTTTTTTTCACAGTATGGGTCATACTTTCCTGTTTCTTTGCATGTCTCATAATCTTTTTAATTGACGAATGGACTTCTAGATAATATTCTGTAGCGTATCTGTATTCTGATCCTTCCCCATGGTTTTGCCAGATTTTGTTTGCTTCTTGGCTTGCTTGGACTAACTCTGCAAAATCTGTCTCCCCACAGTGTGCAGTTGCTGCTCTGCTCAGTTTTTTTCTTCTTGTTGATTTTTTAAGCCCTCCTCTCTAGAGGTAGTCTCTGTGAACTGTGATTGGTCAGAGGTTGTACCCAAATATTTGAGCTAGTAAGGCTTCCACCCCCTGCTGATGGGGCTGTGTGCTGATCAAAGGAATGTATGTGAAGTCCAGGCAGTTTTACAGGTATGGCTCAGCTTTCCACCAGGCCCTTGCCTGTCTCTTCTGAATGTGTGCAAGGCATGCTTTTAGGCAAGGATGTGTGGAGGAACTCAGGCCTCTCAGTCCCTCTTGAGTGTTATATAGTCTTATGCATGCATGCAGTCTTCTAGACCACTGAGGATGTAAGGTAGACCACCACTGATAGGAAGGGGCCTGCCCCACTTTGCTTTCTTCTCCAGTGGCCAGAATAAAAAGCCATTGGTGGCCAGTGTTAGGTCCCTTATTGCCATGGCCAAGAAGGATGCCTGTGTGTTAGGACCTTAGGTACAGCCAGGCAGTCTGAGTGCCACTGCTGATGTACTGAGGTCAAAGCTGGGGTCTTCCTACTCTCAGAGAAAAATGAAGATTCACACTCCCAAGCCTGCTGTACATGGCTTTGTCCTGTCTCTTCTTTACTAATGACCAGCACAGGCCTTGGGGAAAGAGGCCAGAAAGAAATGGCTTTTGGGGACAAGAAACTTGGGGCTCAGGGTGAGGCGGGAACCCAGTAAATGATTAGCTCTAGGAAAATAACCTATGTGTCCTAAAGGAGAAGGGCAAAAGGGCAGAGCCAGGTAGGAATGTGGGTTGTGGGTCCTGGCCTGGCGATACGAGGGAGTACCTTGGCATGGTCCCCCACCTCCTGTCCTCTGTGAACCTTTGAGTTCCACCACCAGGGGGTCCTGTGCTGGCTCACCCTAGAACCCTGCCAGGATCATCAGACTTGGTCCTTTCCTTGGTGCGTGGTTTTTTATCTTTGTATAATTAAAAAAATAAACTGAGGCATATTACAAATTTAAGAGTATGAACCAAAATAGATTCAAATTGGGCAGTATCCAATCTAGCAGATAGAAAGGAGCTCTGGGGAGCTGTACAAAATGACAGATTTATACAGGCAGAAGGGAGGGGGGACAAGGATGTTATAGTAGGTGGAAAAGTAAGATAGTTATTGCAGAGTCACCTTCCTTTGGGGGATGGCAGGGTCTGTCGGGCAGACCACCTCACTAGTGCCCATCAGGTAAGTCCTGACTAATGTAAGATTCCATTTCTGGGAGAGCAGAAATTGTAATTAAGTCTTGGTGACATGGAGCTTAGCATAAGTGACTCCATTTTGGACATGTTGTCTTGTTTTATTTTAATAGTTATGTTATTCCGTTGTGATTAATTAATTATTTTTGTATGCCTCACTTTTTATAACTTTTGCCTTCCTTATTTACTTGAGGAGATGACACATTCACATGGTTCAGAATCCAAAAGGCAAAAAAAAGAGCTGTTCACAGTCAAACTCCCCTTTCCCAGTGTATGGAGGTAGACGAGGCTCTGTGTTCCAGCAGAAAGGTTTCAGCTCCAGAAATATGCAAACCTTTCCCTGCTGGCAGGATGATGAGGATGCCTGCCAGCAGCATCTCCAGTCCCCCCCTGCAGGCAGGATGGTCTTGACATAGCAGGACTTGATGCCGTGTCCATCAGGGACCCAATGCATGTTTGTGGAAGGGACCTGCAAACAAGGAACGAACAGTATTTGATTAATATTCAGCCACCACACATTAAGGACCTGCTGCATGGTGTTAAGTGTCTTATTTCTGATTCTTCCAATTACTCTGTGAGGGTTATTTCCATTTTACAGGTTGGGAAACTGAGGCTCAGAAAACTCAAGTAATTGCCTGAAGACACTCAGCTTATGAGGAATTTTATTGGTTATCTATGGCTGTACAATGAATTACCCTAAAACTCAGTGGCTTAAAATAGGTGTACACTTATTATGCCTCTAAAATGATTTATTATCATTTTCTGTGGTCCAGGAATTCAGGAGTGGCTTTGTTCTGGCTCAGGGTCCTCAGGAGATTATATGGTCAAAATGTCAGCTGGGGAGAGGTGGAGCCAATATGGCGGTGTGAGTAGGACAGTGGGAATCTCCTCCCAAAAACATATATATTTTTGAAAATACAACAAATACAACTAATCCTAAAAGAGAGACCAGAAGACACAGGACAACAGCCAGACTACATCCACACCTGCGAGAACCTAGCACCTGGTGAAAGGGGTAAGATACAAGTTGCAGCCTGGCGGGACCCGAGGCCCCTCACCCCAGCTCCTGGCAGGAGGAGAGGAGTCAGAGCTGGGAGGGAGAGGGAGCCCAGGACTGCTAAACACCCAGCCCCAGCCATCCGCACCAGAGCACAGACACAGTGTATGCATGGGGTCCTGGATACTAGGGAAACAGGACAGTAAGACCTGTGAGCAGGTCCCGAAGCCAGCGCCCCTGTGACAAAGAAAAGCGAGTGTTTTTTGAAAGTCTTAAAGGGATAGGGATGCCACAGCTGGAAGGAAGCATCCCGGGTCACAGTCCAGCAGCTGGAAATTCCAGGGAACTCCGGGTGCACTAACCCCCTGGGCAACAGCTCTGGGACCCCTCACAGAGGTAAACAGCCAAACAGCCCCCCATCCATTACCCCTCCGGGGCCCTGCCATAGCAGAACAGCAGCCTGAGGCTGGCCACACCCACAGCAAGGGAGTTTCCTCCATACCAGCCGGGCAAGATACTGAGACCCAGTCTACTCACAATTGCCCAACACAAGCCCCAAGGGGTCACAGTTGTCCCAGTAAAGAAAGGCCAGGAGCAAGTGGAAAGTCTTGGCTCTCCCAGATGACAGACGAGTCAATAGCTCACCATTGCACCTATCAACATGAAAAGGCAAAAAAATTTGATCCAGACAAGACTAACCCAGACAGCTTCAACATCTTCTACATCTTCCCCTGAGAAGGAACCTGGGGAGATAGATTTAACCAGTCTTTCTGAAAAAGAATTCAAAACGAAAGTCATAACCATGCTGATGGACTTGCAGAGAAATATGCAAGAACTAAGGAGGGAGAATACAGAAAT